CCCCCCCCCCTTACAGTTCTCAGGCTGATGGCACGCAATCCAGGAATGGTCCGCGCTGTCAGACTTGCCGTTTGTAAGCGATTACGGAGAAGCACCAGTCGGTTATGATTATCCTGTTGTCGTGATGTCACGCGTGGACGACATACACGTGGTCGGTCTCTTACATTAGTAAAATGCTTGGCGACAAAAGCATGCAAAGCGACCCATCTCCAAGAAGCGAAACCGGTATGTGCAAATTAAATACGGCATTGACTCAGCGATAGTGTGGCGGTGCGTTCACTGGTTACCTGTACAAAAATCAGTCTAATATATTGAGCGGTGTTCGTGTTATCCAATTTTGTATTTTACACAGTTATTCTTCCGTAAGAACCGATACTTTACTATCTGGATAGCAATCGGGAACCTCCGGCACTTCCGTAAACAGTAGTTACTCGTTTACGGAAATCGCCGACGGTTCCCGATCGATTATTTGAATGGAAAGTATGACGTCTACAAAACGTAACCAGATATATAAATATATACGTCTCTGACGTAACTATGTTTCATTACTCTTACATGATAAATCACGAGACAGAAAACTGCCTGTATAAATAATTTTATTAATCCAGTTCAGAGATAAATAACAATTAAATGCCATTAAAATAACTTGGAACAACAAAGTGTAACAGATCAGTAAAATTGTGCCAAGACAGGAATGAATAAGATATGCTGTATATCTAAACCTATATGCTTATAGATATCCTGGAACAGAGCTACCAGCTATAATAACAAATACATCATCTTGTGTAATCCCGCTAAATGTTTCATACCACAAAATTAAAGTCGGTAACAAATGAGAGGTGAGACCCAATGCCTTATATCATTTGACAGATAGCAGGTGTGGGAAATGAGATGTTATTAGACCCAATGCCTTATTTCATTTGACAGATTGCAGGCTGGGAAACGAGAGGCAAGACCCAATGCCTTATTTCATTTGACATATTGCAGGTGTGGGAAATGAGATGTGAAATTCAATACCTTGTATCAACCGACATATTGCAGGTGTTGGAAATGAGAGGTGATGAGACCCAATACCTTATAACATTTGCCGATTACCGTGGTGTTAAATGTGACGCGAGATCTTGTTTCATTTGACTAGTCATAGGAGTAGAAACTGTATTAACTAAAGCACCGGAATTAATAGTCACATGAACGTTTTATTTGATTCGTTTTCCCAAATGAATATGAGTGAACAACATTCCTATGGACATGATAATAACATTATATCTCACAATATATATAAACCAATTACTACCTCGGAGACATGAATGCCCCTGCTGTCATGATTGTTATGCCCACAAACTGTAACTATGTCCAGGACCATGACAAAAATTTGATGTATTCGTATTCCCGAGAATCTGAATCACAGGAAAATGAAGCCAGTTCGGCGATTACAAAAAATTCTATTCAGGTAACAGTAAGCTTGATCCTCGACCTTAAAACACAAAATATTGAAGGCATTTATTTACAGAATACTTGTACAAAGTTTGATCTTATAATAAAAAAAAGTAAAGACGGTAGAGCGATGATGTTCCAAGTGTAATGGAAGGACGAGCAGATGGTTTAGTAGAAATACAGACATACATATGAACCTAGATATGCCCCAACCCCACACTTCAATGAAGGGGCATATCCATCATAAAAAACAAATTCTACATTTTTCATTGAGTCGATTCTACTGTAAACGACATATTTTAGCCGTATTCTTATTTTAGCACATACCTCACTTTTATCACACGAAAGTATGAATAGAAAATCTGATATATTGATTGTTCTCTATTGCATATTTCTTGATGCGCCAATATTATTCATAAATGCCCTAATCTATGTAATTATGTTTGGAGTAATAATTTTACATAAATTAGAAAACAATAAAGATTATCATCAAAACCACATTGTTTCTACAAGAATCATAAGCTAAAGCACTATACCGTGAAACAAGAATCTTTAACATTGTCAATGGTACCTGGCAATAGGAGTGCATTGATAAAAGTATACATCCCGGTACTCCAAACACTGGGAGACCAATGACGTCATATGTCTTAACCTACAGAACAAATACAAATGTATGAAATAACAAGAGGCCCAAGGGCCTTAGCGGTCACCCGAGTTATATCATAGGTACTGGTAGCTCAATTTTGTTGTTGAGACGTGATGTGGAAATCAACATGTAAACAAAGTGAAATACAATACTTGTCATGTCACCAAAGGTTTAGAACTTTAAAAACTATTCAAATAAATCATTTAGCTTTTGAGAAATATAATATCTATTGTTATTTAGCCAATTTTCCTCCCTGGCCAACCCCTTGGATAGGTCAGAATCTTACTTTCTGATCCTTCTTGATTTCAATTTCGTTACAACTATTCCAAAAATGTTCGAATTATTTCTTGCTGAAAATGGTCAATGTAAAAATTCTGAGTCTGATGAAGATGATTTTTTTATCTTTTGATTTCCCCATTTCAGCCCCTCCAGCCACTGGGGATGGGGCAGGATTTTACTTTCTCATACCGTCTAATTGCCATTATCTGGCAAGAGTTATTTCCCTATATAAACTAAAGTCAACTTTACACTCTCCCAAAACAAGAATAGATGGCTCGAGGGTAATGAAATTGAAAAGTAGATAAAGCCCCTGATGGAATTTTCATCCATGCACAGAATTTGATGGTAGAACATAAAAGTCTGAAGAACATTTTTGAAATAGTGGTTAATTTTCCCGTTGTTCGTAGATCGTTTACAAATTATTCTCTACGGTTATAGGGCCTTTGCAACCAGCCAATATCTTTCTCAACTCCCTGGGGAGCATACAGCCAGTGCTGCCATTTTGGGGCTCACAGCTAACATTCAACAATTCTAGCACTGCCCAACCACATACTCATTTACAGCTGATCATGAGTAGACTGGAACAAGCGGAGTTAAGTATCTTGTTCAAAGATACAACACAGTGCCGTGCCGTGACTCTAATCACCAACCCTTGGTCACGAGCCCGGCGTCCCACCACTGAACTACTGAGCCTCCATATGTAGTTTGTGTACAGTGGGCCTAAGACGACACTAGTTATAGGCACTGAGTCAGGCGGCAGCATCTGCATCATTTCATGCAGTACAGACGTCTCTTTAGGATTAAAGTTGAAAAGTCTATAACAAACGAATATGTGCTTTTTTTAGCCTACACTGTATTGACACTTAAGGATGCATTTATACTGCTCAAAATCAAAGGAAAGCATAGTCCATTTTCAAAATACAGGAGTGAATGAGTTAAAAAGATGATAACATTTTGCATAAAGTTTTTAAACAAAGCTGAACGACAACACTAAACCATGTACATGTATAAATTTCTTTGTTTTCACCGACATCAAAACAATTGCACCATTAGAAATTTGTCACTGAAGATTTTTATTTGTTGCAAAGTAATCTGATTGTGCATTTTATGTATCAGTAAAAAAATACTTTTTTCAATATCTCAAGTCAAAGACCTGTCAATATATTTTTAAAATAAAATATGGTAGGATTAAACATGGACTTCATAGAACGGTAACCGCCGACAATGATGGGCTAGAAAACGTTTCACATACCACATAATAATACATGTATACGAAATTAACATATAGCTCTCAATCAATATGGGGAAAAAAATCTCTTAAGGGCTTGCATCATGTAGGTCTGAAATGCAGCACCTTTAAAGATAATGTAAAACAAAAATATCAAAAGTAATTTACATTAAAAACATCACATATAGAAACATAATTATTCATTTCAGAATACTAGTAATGCTGAGAGATTTCGCAGGCATTTTGTAACCATTCACAATCAAGATTTCAAAATTTTACAATTAACACTACCAACTACATATAGTTGATAAACGAGAGAAATTACACAGACAAACAAACGGTACATTTCGATATTAAACAACAGATTCAAGGGTCTGATATATCACTCGCAAACATGGTTCTCGACACTTTCCATTATAACCTCCTTTTAACCTTGAGCAGAAGCAAGGATTACAATCTACATTGTACACAAGGTTTTCATGTGATAAGTAATACATTATCATGTGCCTCTATAACTAAAATCGTCAACACTTTATTTTGAAAATTAATTTGTTAGAACGGACAAATAGGGAATTATTCATTTTTTTGAATGTTCAATCTTGTAGTCAATTTGCTTAAGATAAAATCATATTCAATCTCAGACTTGTACTAAGTGAGGTTTTGTAACACAATTTTGCAAGTACTTATGATCATTGGACAAAAATGAGCATAAAGACAGTTATTTTCCATACTCAGAAAATACACACACTATAATTACTCTGTAATATATCACACCCATATATTCAGGATCTTTTTGGTGTTTAATCAAAGGCAGTGATGCTTGAAATTGAACGATATGACAACAAACAGTTTTTTTTTTATATTTGTCTATTTCGGGGGTGGGCTGAAGGTTTCAGAATTAGGAAAATACACAAAGTTGGGGAAATTATTTATGGTAACAAACCAAAGATTTGTTCTGTACTTTCGAACTGATAGATTCATGAAACCATTTATTTTGTAATCGAACCTGTCGGATAGGCAGAATAAGATTTCTAGTTTTCTTCAGTGGCGTTGTTGGTTTTTCAGGTGACAGAACAAGTGGGCAATGCAGCCAAAGCTAATTCTTAAAACAAACAAACTTAAAAAGAAGTTGGAGAAAAGGCATTTATTTCCCGGTCTGTGTGTTTGACAGGAGATGTTGTTATCCACTGGTTGACTCTTTGAACTAGAGAAACTTGTGGTGTCTGGATTATCTCCTCCTTGAATGGCGTTAATGGTGCCTCTGGCGGAGTAGATTCAGTTTTCTTGACAGACAACACCTTGTGATCTGTGCCTGGTTTTCTGAACAAGCTTCCAAACTTGTTTACCTCCCCTTTGGAATAAAGGGTTTGCATCTCTTTCCGGATATGTTTCACCGGTGGTTCTTGGGTCATCAGCATTTTCGCTGGTGGTTCTTGGGTTATCAGCGTTCCTGAAATTCCTTGTCTGGGTAATTTTACTTCTGGGTCGACACTGCTGCCTTCATCATGACCTTTACTTTTGTCTGTTGAGAACCTTGGCACGTTGACCTGTATGTTGACATTACTGATAGCCTTTGACCCTGGAACAAAGCTGAAGAACTCGGACAGAGAAGGGGAGGAGGCTGATCTATTCATACCCGCTTTCTTTTCCACTGTTAAATGTGCACCTCCTGAAAAGTTCAAACAGGAATTTTAAAATAACCCTTATAATGTTTACTGGCTCCTTTCTTGCGGAGACAGTCTCTTATAAATCCTGTTTCCGAAAGCCACTTACAGGGTTCTGTCAAAGTAAAGATTACCTTCTACAATTACATGTTTTCTAGATAATGATCGATAATCTTTACCATTTAATTAATCCGATTCAAAACTTATACTGCATATTGTGTTCATTTTATAATCTTTATTAGGGAAAACCCTGGAATTTGAGAACAGTGGGCCATTTCAGCAATTTAGTCAAATTAAGAGGGGCCATTCTATGTAAAATTAACAGAAAACTGGAACATTGAGGGATCAATTTTAGTTTTGAGGGGTCAATGGCCCCCATGGCCCCATAACCCCCTCTGGTATTATCACTGTAGATAATCAATGTAGTGCTAAAGACTTCCAGTTATAGCATTCTGTCCAACTTACCAACATCTTTTAAGTTTGTTATAAAGGGGGCAGAAGACCCCTTGGTATCCACTACAGCTGGTTCTTGAGGAGGGTCTACACCTATAGAGAAGAGGGGTCGCTCCTCCACATTTCCAGCAGATACTGGTGGAGTGTTGGGCACCCCATTGAAGTTATTACTAAAGTCTATTGATGGAGGCGAAGTCTCTTGCTTTATATCCATCTTGGCTTAGCACACGTGTACGTGGGACATCAGCTAGACAGATCTCCGTCTCACAGGTATGCCAGCACAAAGACGGAATTGCTTCATGATGAGGTTTTCATTTACAACAATTCCCAGTTCCAAAAAATGTCCCAGAAATTCTGTAAAAGAAATTGACAGGAATACAGACCAAAATAGATTTTCGAATAGAAAAATTAAATTAAATTAAAAAATTTAATTAAAAATTAAATTAAAGTCCTGTGATACAAGCAGTGTTTTGTTTTACCTGAATTTTACGACAGCCTGTTCCTTTATGAATTGGGAAAATATCACTTTATTTTTATCGAAATTGGGACTAAATCCTCATTTTTTTGGTCATTTTTGGTAAAATAAGGCACTTTAATTTCAGACTGTTCTATTTTCATTTGATGATAATTAATGTCAATTTAACTGTTAACAAGCTTTATTAGCTGCTGACTATGGTTATACAGACAGTTTATATGTAAGAATAATTATGAAAACAAAAGTTTCTTAATTTACGTGCCGTGAGACTCTGTTTATTTGGATATCATTTTCAGAAGTCTATTTTTTCCAAGCTAATGCTAGTTCGGAGAAGATATTTCATCAGAACCCCTTTTACTCGTAAATTTTGAACTATTTATAATTTTCTGCTGATACTGATTGTTTATAACCCGCCATATTAGCCAAAATACCAATGTGTCGCTTTTCACCTCCTCATGACCCCGTTAGTACATGTATTTTCACATTCTATTTATAGAAAAACATGCTGGAAATACCAACTCTTCATAGAAAGGAAAGCGGATGTTATCTATTTATGAAAAAGATTACCACAAAGCGGTGGATAATACGCCTGTCACACACTAAATGAGCAGTTCTTTGTATCGTTGAAATATATAAAATATTTGCGAGTAATTCATGTTAAAGGAAAATTATTCAACATACATATACCTGGTAAATCAGTGAGTGTAATGAAACAACTTGTTTGAGCTTTTATGATAATTCACCTTCCTATGAAGTTTAAAAAGGTATGGCGGGTTGCTATGCCTATTTCCCCAAAGTTATGTTACGCTAGTGCGCGCATCCAACCGTGCACTGTTATGACGCGTCCTCAGGTATTTTTATACAGGTATACGTAGCTATATCGGAATCCTGTGTCTAAGAATAGATTATTGTAAACAGACGAATTTAAGGCCATAGGTATTAATACATGCGTTTAACGATAAAGGCTCAACACAATGCTTATTTCACGTTTTTTATATTGATTTATAACAAATTACATTTTTGTATACGCTTATATGTACATGTAATACAAGATCGTGCAATCTATACGAAACAGTTTTAAATGGATTTAATTTTCATCACTACTACCTGCGTTCGGTAAATTGGTAGCATTCAGAATGAGTTCTGAGAAAGTATCCGGTCTCGGGCGATAATCCGCATGTCACACTAAATAGTAACGAAATTATTACTAACAAAACTGATAAATCAAAAGGTATGTTATTAAAACGTAAACAAAATTTTCGATCGATTTGAAAAACAAAATATTGCTTTACTAAGGAAAATGATTACATGCCTAAATATTTAAAAAAAAAAAAAAAAAAAAATGGGGGGGGATTCGAACCTGCACCGTTGATTTTTTGGTCACAAGTAAACTGCGTTACACATTCGGCTACATAGAACATATAGATATTGGCAATTACAAACTGATTTAATCCGAGAAACACCTGTCGCAGTATAGAGAAACTTGATCAACCCTGTTTTTCATTATTTGAGCACTTTCCCAAAGGAGGACCACTTTTCCGTAATACAATTTGTTTTTGCATATTACATCACGGTTACAAAAAGTTTATTCAAAAGTTGGTCCTCAGATGGGAAGGTGTTGAAAGTATTTGTTTAAGTCCGGGAAACCCCATCACTTTCATAGATATAGTGTATATGGCTATATTTGCAGTATTATATTAGCAATACCTAATTTCTCAGCAGTTTAAAAATTCATATTCAATTGGTTCTATATCTTTTGTATGCATTTTTGATACAAGAAATGTTTTAATCCTTAATTTGTTTTCCCGTTTTCATAAATGCCGACTTAGGGAAATACGGGCAGTTTTCCGCCCTACCTCTTTTATCTGTCAAAAAATATGCGAGATGTTGAGTGGATATTGGCTCCCCATCTGTCTCTCAAGTGAAAACATAATACATCCCATGTTTCGATGGGCAGATAAAATGAACAAACATTTTTGGAATTGCATAAAAATTAAATATATTTACTATTTATCTCAAAAATATCACGTTTTGTGTACTGAGTGAAGTTTCTCATTTCAAAAAGCATACATATTTTGTGGCAAAAAATAAAAGATTTACTTGTCAAAAATCAGCATGCTATAGAATTCTTACTAGGCCAAGTTTCCAGTCTGCAGCCCTTCATATATTTTCATGGCAAATGCTGATGAAGTCTACATGAATGCAGAGCTAAGCATGCTACTTGGGGAAAAAAATTGTCATTATATGTAAATGACATTGCTTGTATTTACACATTGGAAAAGTCAGGGACAGTATATATTATCTATTATACGTCCCTGGGAAAAGTATACTAACAATTTGCAGATCATAGTTTCACACTTGAAAATTATCTCCCTTTTGCCAAGCGAATAACTACATAGAATTGTATCATGACAATGACAAATTAATGGTTTTATTATCAAGAAACACTGTTAAATCTTAAACTTTATCTGAAGAACAAATATAAAGCAATAACTCCAGGTAATCAAAAGCATAAAGAAGTTCAATATTGTTATCACTGCAAGTAACAATATTTTCTGATTCTACGCCTGTTAAAAAACCGACAAAATAAGAACGTCGTCCTTACTGAAGGACATCTTTGGAAAGTTATACGACATACTGAGTTCAACCAATAAATGAAATGTTATATCACAATCTTATGTATGTCGAAATGAATGCAAAATTAATTGTTTTTACCTTTTAAACTACGCATTAGAGTTGAATGTTGCTGTCAACCAGCGGATGCTTATCTGCGCATGCGTGAGAAAACGAAAGTAGAAAAAAGAGGGAAGTACTAAATAAGTGATTACAAACCATGACAACGTTAACATTGTTCAAAGTATATTTATACAAACTTACAGCTTTCTGTTTTTTTTATTCATGATTATTTCGAGAGAAAAAATGTTGCAATAAACATATTGACCATTTTCAAGCTACAATACCCAGATTATGACATAAATGTAGTATTTTGATATTGATGTTTAAAGGGAGCTAACTCGGGGCGAGTACAAAACCCGGAATACACTCAGGCGTGAAGATATTTTTGTTGAATTTTTGTATTTATTAGCCCATCTCTCTCTCTCAATACATAAAAAAAACAGCATGAGAAAGATAATTTTATACCCGTTACAATGGTATACGTTATGCTAAGCAGTATTTTAAATTAGAAGTAAAAGTGATGGCCGGAATGAAATACTATGAAATAAAAATGGCAATATTTTCAACAGTTTTTGTTCAAATAAATTTTCATATCTCTAATATTACTGAACCGATTTTTATTCGGAAACCACTCAGGCCATGAAAATTGAGAACTCTTTAAGACGATATCAATTGTTTGAACACATTATATATATTAATCATGAAAGTGGTGGCCGGAATGAATCATAGTCGAGTGAAAAATAATGAAAAATATCAAACTTTCTCGTAAATTTCTGTCTTTCCTAACCTATAATTCGTTTATTACTGAACCGATTTTTGTTCGGTGCCACTCTAGGCACGACAAATTTATAATCTTTAAGTTAATACAACTTCTATTTTTTAAATTCAATTCAACTTAATTCTCTTTCACAATACAATGTATAAAGAAACATATTTACAATATAACATATAGTAATTGTAGTGTTCGTAGTCGGTAGTACACAGTACTGTTTCATAATATATACACATTTATATCGAGGGGGTCAAATATTGTTATTAATTATTCTGATAAAAGTACAAAGTTTCTTCAGTGTTTTTATATTAGTGGTATTCATTAATTCATAGAACTTAATTACATTTGGTCTCGTCCAAAAATATACCCAGACAGTGACGGACACTCAAGCAAGCAATGGAATTCGTCATCAATTTGCTGACTGTTACAGTGTGGACATTTTCTTTCATTATAATCTATATCATGCCATCTGCCGGTTTCAACAATAATTTTGTGATTGGTAGTCTTAAATTTACAAAATGTAACTCTATCTGTATCACTTAAAATATCTAAGTAATTTTCAAAATGACAATTATTTTTAAAAATCCTATAGCATGTAGCTTTTGATGAAGTGTGTACATCACTCTGCCATTTTTGTAAATACTGGTCGTGCAATCTTTGTTTAATAACATGCTTTAGCCATGTGGTATTACATTCTGAAGTATATTGGACATTCCATAAGTAACTCATGCCACATTCATTTAAAATACGTTTAATAAAGATTATATATGGAACCGGTTTATCATCAACATTATGGTGATGGCAAAGAAGTTTATACAATATAATATTTATTTTCTTTTCTTTAGAATGAGTCAATTGTGACCAATATGTTACTATTCTTATTTCATCATAAACCATATAATTAGGGGTGCTACCTTTTAACCCTAGTAATAATTTACAAAACTTTAAATGTACACGTTCAATTACCTTAAGGTTAGTAAGACCCCAAATTTCACAACCATACAACAGTATCGGTTTTACAATCTTGTCAAATAAATCATATATAATGAACTGATAAGTTATGTAGTCTACCTTTCTTTATAACGTTATACATTGCTATTGTAGCCATTTTAATATTGTATTTTTTCGTTTCATTGAATGAACCAGTACGACTAAATGCCGTACCCAAATAGGTAAAATTATTCACTAACTCTATCACCTCATTATTAAATAAAAATACATTTCTATTGTTTTTACGTCCTTTACTAAATACCATACATTTGTTTTTTTCTATATTGACCTTTATAATTAGTTTCCGCTGTTTACAGTATTCACTGAATACATTTAATTGTAGTTGCAAGCCAACTGGGCAGTCCAACTGGGCAGTCTGAGAAAAGTAGTGCATCATCAGCATAGAGTAAAATAAAAAGCTTTATGTATACATTTAGATCATTTTCTAATTTAGTACTAAGGTTTGTCAAACCCTGAACGTTATTTTGGACCATGAACTTTTCGAGATCGATCAAGTACAGACTAAATAAAACGGGAGATAGGTCTTCTCCTTGTCTCAAACCATTTTCACATGGAAAATAACCAGAACATTCACCATTAAAAGATATATTTGACTTAATGCCTTTGTACATGTTAAAAATAATTGTTAACATTTTCCCATTAATTCCACTCATTTACATCTTGTTTCACAAGCCATTGCGCCATACTTTATCGAAGGCTTTTTCAAAGTAAAAAAATACACAATATAATTTACTTTTGATCATCTGAGTCAAATTAATCAAAGAGTAGAGTACAAAAATGTTATCAATAGTTGAGTATTTTTTACGAAACCCTGTCTGATTTTCACATATCAAGCTCACATCCTCTTTCTGTAGCCTTTCATTTAATATACTAGTCAACTTCCCTAAACAACTAACAATCGTAATTGGTCTATAATATTTAGGTTCCATAGGTGAACTTTTATTTTTAAAAATAGGAACAAAAGTACCGGTCAGCCATTTTGCTGGGAATTTCCCACTATTGAAAATAATATTAAACACTTTGACATAGAAATCAGTCATTTTCGTAACAGAATGTTTGATATATTCATTCATAATATTGTCATCAGAGCACGTTTTGTTATTTTTCAACGACCTAATAGATCTTTTAACCTCGTCCTTTGTTATATCACAGTTTAAAAACTCATTAACAATATCCACAGGTACATCAGTACCATTTTCATCATCATCATCACATGTATTAAAGTTTTTGTAAAAATCAAGAAATTCGTATAGGGTTTATTAATAACATATTACTACAATTATCAACAAGTTCGTTAACATTCAATTCATGTGGATCTGTACAATTGTCAATCGTATCAGTAATATCTTTTACTTAATGTGTTTTCTCTGTTTTCCATTGGTTAATTCTTTCTGCAGATTCTGGGGTTTGGTCATTTGTTACACAGGTATTTAAAATGTTATTAAATTTTAGAGTTAATGAAATTAGACAATTTACATCAGATAATAAGGAATTAAAGTCTAAAATATCAAATTCATGTACATTTTTTACAAGTCTAGATGAACATAATACATAATCAACCACACTCGCGTTTTTACACGTAAGCTTGCCAATACTTTTGTCGCGACTAATTCGACCGTTACAAATATAAAGGTCATTATACTTACAAAAATCTAGGAGTCGGTTACCGAAATTATTCTTTTTATCATCACAACTTGATCTATATTTTGGGAAAATAAATTCTTTAAAAACACTAGTATTCTGTGCGTCATTAAGAATCTCAGCTGTAAAGTCATCTTTGTTTTCTATTTCATGTACATCTATACAATCATTTGCATTTGATGTTCGTGCATTAAAATTGCCTAAAAGACACACATAATTACAATTGATTGAGAAATGTAGGTACATGTACTCATTTTCCAGTTCTGAATATGGATCACCTAAATGGTATTTAGAATTTTCAGGTGTTATATACACTATACCAAACAACAAATCTTCATCACAATGGCAGACGTTACCATTAACCTTAAACCAGCTTACATACTTGCTGTCACTTTCTAAAGTATTTATACAGTTTTCTAAACCACACTTAAAAGTCAGTGTTATTCCGCCAGCTTTCGTTTTTCTAAATTGAAAACGGTTCTTCATTTTGATTACAAAAACCTGGTAAATCAATAACAAGTCGTCAATTTTTGTCTCGCATAGGTATATTAATATATCAGATAAAAGCATCTGTATTTCGGGAAGTACGACTTAAACAGTCTATAACCATTACATTTCTGGATTCAGAATATTCACTTATAACGTTTTCTAGAATTGAAAAAATAACACAATCATATTGTTCATAAAAACGAGATGAACTAGGTGGAATATATGTAAATAACAATATTAGGTTGTCAGTACAACTGGTCAAACCCTGGTCAAGAGTGACCGGTATAATTGTATCAAACAAAACATTACCTACATTTATAAATTTAAAAATAGTATTACGGTTAGCAACACCAACCCACCACCTTGTGTATAGCGTGTTCATTTCCTTAGTACCACAACTGCGTGAAAGTCCTCAAGTTCTACCTCAAAGCCTTGTGGAATCCAGCACTTGGATAAAAAAAAATACAACTATATTATTTTTCCATGTTAATACATTTAGTCTAGTGTACACATAATCGTCGCCGTGTGACGATGTTTTCTTTACTTGATTTCTGCACACGTCCGTGTTGTTTTTTGCTAAATGGAGGAGATCATTTTGAGAAGTTTTGATAGTACCGACCAATAAAAATTAATATGCACATTTGAGTAGATAATTTTGAGTAGGTCACTTGTCATAAATAGGGCATTTCTCAATACGGTGTTATAATTCAAACATTACGTTATGGATAATTTGTGCACTTTGTGCGACTCCGTGGTTAGACGCACACAGCATCGTATCTCATGTGGTGTGTGTGACCGTTGGCAGCATAGAACCTGCCAGACTGGTAAGTACAATATTATACAAGTATATTAAATGTATTTTGATAATTCCCTAAGTATATTGCCAACGTTTATTTCATAATTAAAATGAACACATCTGCTTAACAGTTAAAATACGTATCTATGAACTTGGTGAATTATTTACATTTCGTATACATCTCTGGAGAAAGGATTAATTTATTTTTATTCTTATACGCAATTGATGAAGTGATGTGGATGTAGCGTAGGGTTGCTAAGGAAATCCGCCATCTTGGATCCGCCATCTTGGCCGTTGCTAAGGAGAAAGCCGCCATCTTGGATTCAAAATGGTTGCTGGCAACCATATTGAAATTTTTTGAATCCAAGATGGCGGCTTTCTCCTAAGCAACGGCCAAGATGGCGGATC